CTTATGTCTTGTTGCGATTTCGGGGTCGCCCTGCACCCTCGCCCTAAACCCTAAACCCCACACCCCTAAACCCCGAAACCCAAAACATCTAAGCATCGAAACCTTCAATGTCTGAGACCTCCTCCTTCGGAGCTGTGGCGCAGATCGCCGCCGAGGCATTGGCTTTGTCCCTTCGTACACTACAGGGTGTTATGGTGATTTTGGGGTCTGTTTGGTTTTAACTTGGGGCTTATTCGGGGATTGCATCCCGGTTTAGGGTGGTAGTCGGGTGTCTAGATGGAATGGGTTTGGGGATTTATGTGGAGCGGTAGGTCTTGGGGCCTCGCGCCTGGATGCAGGGAAAGCAGGGAACATGTTTGAGATGTGTCCGAAACCGCCCACAGTAAGTCTCACAGCCGAGACAGCTTGAACCTTCAGCTCCGAACCGTGTGGATGACAGGTCGAGGAAAGCGACGACGAGGTGCTTCTCCCAGCGATGGCTCGAGTATAAGCCTGGACGGTGAGAACAGCTAAAATACAGCCATTATATACCCTTAATATAGCTATCATATACCCTTAATATAGCTAATACATACCCTTAAGATACAGGGGTAGCAATGTGGCGAGAGCTGAGACGCCTCGGGCTGCTTGTTGAGAGTTTGCGTCGTGATCGCAACAACCTGCCTGAGCTCCAGTGAGACCCCGGCCAAGTAGGTTTGACCGAGACCATCAGCAGACTCACAAGCCAGAGACGGAAGCTTTGGCGAGCTTTTACTTCAAGTCGTGCTCGCAGTATACCACCCACAGCTACCGCTCCCCTGCTGCTACGGCAGAGTACTGGGCGAATTCGGCCTCCCAGCACAGCCAGGGTAGTTCGTGAGCAGGATACTTGCCGGATCAAGACGGAGCTCGCGATCCGAAAGCTGATCAACGGTAGCAATAGTCAATACGCGGTCAGACAACACTTGTAAACTCAAGAATAGCTAGCTTCATAAGAACATGGGCTTCTGAATGCTAGACCCTGGCCTGAGTGTCTGTTGGCTCTACTAGATCAACATAACTGTCAACCTTGGAAAACGGTGTCATCCCCACCGGTTCTAGCACCGATGCGAATAGAACGAGCAACATGTAGAAACGTCAGGCATGCATGTATTATCGTCGTGATTTCCCCGTCCAGCGACCATCATCAGCCTCCTCAGTGTCGTGTCTCGTGCTGTCCCCATTCCCATCATCCGCCATTCACCGAGCCAAAGCATTCAGAGTCCATGGGCCCCAAACCACAACCCCAAGCCCAAACACCGCCAAACCCCAAAGCAACAACAACGCCGGCCTGAGAAAGAGCAGCCTATTCCCAAGCTTGGAAGTCTGTTTCCAAGACCCAGGCCCAGCCTACAGTGGAGTCCATGCCATCCGATTCTTCCTTTGGAAGTGATGCCGACCTGGTCGTCACCAAGGCAGGGGGGGATGATGGCAAGTGGTGCGGGGCACAAAGCTTCCGGTGCAAGTCGCCATCCATGTCAACATCTGACGGTTGCACAAGGACCTTCAGATCTCTCACCAGGGTTTTCGGCAGAGCGTCAGCTTTCAGCTTTGCAAGCCTGCCCTTTCAAATGGGCAAGACCTGAACACAGCACCCCAATTCCGATTCCGATCAGTGTAACTCTGAAAGCGCCACGTGCGAAATCACGCTTCGGTGGGATGGAGGTGGGCTCGAACTACAGCGACGAGGCGGACAAGGCCGTGGAGTGTGTCTTTGTTGTTTATCAGTGTCAGTCAGTGTCTTTTGCTCATGGTTTTACTATAGGTTGCGGTTCTGGACTTTCTGCCACAAAGCCCCACTAGGCTTCAGGATGACCAGCAGGACTGTAGACTGCGGAACCACCGTATGCCTGTCTTCTGCGCTGCAGGTCTGCGGCTTCGGCTGTAGCACTTTGAGTTCAGGGAAAATTGGCCGACTTGCACAGCGAGTCCGACGAATTGTATGGACAGCTGACACCAGTTATGGTTGGATGGGGAAGGTCACAGTTCGATCCCTGGGCCTCGAGAACAGGACGCCTTATTCCGAAGTGTCTCACTGCAAATGCCACTGAAACTCAGCACCCTGGAGCCCAAAGCACTTGAACGCAATGCGTCAATGTCCACTCGAAGAAACATCGCAATGGTCTTGTAGTGGTTGGCAAACACTACGAGACTGGTTGAGGTCTGCTCTGAGCTGCGTACCCTTCCCAGGGTGCTTGTTAGATTCTCATCCTGCCGGAAAGGAAGCCTCATACGGCCGAATGTAGGGGCCGAAGTAATTACCAAAACGGTTTTATTATACTTAATATACCACGAAACCCTATTCTAACCATTAAGACTACTTATGCTACAAAACCCTATTCGCATCATTAAGGCTTCTGTATTTTTCAGAAAGCATCCTCCAGGTATCCAGGCTTCCAGCCCTGCGAACCGCTCTTAAGTCCGGGCATCGTCGAGCTGGGTCCCCATGGGGACTGAGGGGTCCTGTCTTGGGGGTCCTTTTGGTAAGGGACCTGCAGGCTTTAGGGTTCAAGGTTTATGTAGGGTGTTGGGTCCATTTTGGCGTCCCCTTCTTTTTAAAGTTGCGGCCACCGTAAAGGAGTGTCAGAGGTTCCGCTTTGGTCGTTGTTTTTGGAGGGTCGGGGTCTCGAGCTTCACCAGGCCCACAGGCCTTTCGAAGAAAAGTCCGCGATGAGCATGTCAGAAAGAACAAGGGGCTGCCCCAAACAAGTCGGGTTCCGCACAACCAGAATTCCAGGATCCTGAAGACAGGGACCTTTAGTATCCCGACTCCCCATAATATCGCTAAAACCGACCCGTCCGTGAAGCCTGAAGAAATCATAGCTAACCATCGATCATCCTACCTGGCCCAGATTTGGACCGAGACAGGGCTCCGTGTCCCTGACAAGGAAATGCTCAAGGTGTGGCTGTGCAGCTTTGTGGAATTCTCTGGAATAGCTCGGTTTTGATATACTGGCTTGTTGATGCGTGGCTCGTATTGCGTTGCAGTCAGAAAAGTAGGCCAAAGATAAAGGCGTCGTCGGCGAGCATTAAATGCGCATCTGTATACAGTCGGACATGTGTGCTGCATCAACGCATGAGGCAGCCGCATGCATGTTCGCTTCAGCCAGCCATGCGCAACTGCTCCTGCGTACGAACGTTCATGTGAGCAAGTAGGCTGCACCCACGTTTGTGTCTCTACGCCAAGCAACATGCCACCACAATCGTGATAGTTGCCTTCGGCATCGTGCATCAATGCCATTCTGCGTCATTTTCACCAATTGCTCATTTAGACTGCGCAATCGCTGCTGTTATGAAAACCGACCTATCACTGCTCTGAAGCTCATGTGGGTGGTTGTCAAAATTAGGGTTTCTTGGGTCTTTATTAGAGTACGGCACCTATTATTTAGGGCACCCAGAAAGGGCCCATAATTTTGACAACCACCCATGTGACTACACTGACACGCCATGCTCATGAGCAGGCAGCGGAGAGCTGATGGCAGCTCGCTCATCTTAGTGTCTTAGTGAGCTCCCGCCAAGTGGTGGCAGCCAAGGCTGCAAAAGCAGCCCTACTGGCGACCAGGGTGGTCGTTTTTAGATGCCTGCAAGAAAGAATGACGAACTAGAGTATGTGGGTCCATGTCTATCCGACTCTATCCTTCTGAAAAGGACGACCCTGATGGTGACCACATGCGCGGTCTGCGGTCCTCGAGCCCCGAGACGGGGTTGCATCCTCAAAGAGGTGCTCGTTCGCTGAGATATGCGATTTAACTGCGCGATAAAAGGCACTTGCCAGCCCCATGGAGGATGTAATTGAATTGTGGAGGATCGCTGCTTGAGCTGTCGAGAGTCTAGAGACACACGTGGTCCTGCCGTAGCTTTCTCCGTGGCTGTTTCATTCCCAGAAAGCCGAGGCGTAGGCTAAAAGCAACCCCACTGAACCACTATCAAGCTTTGGATATGTACCCGAATTCGGAGCCTTACTAAACCCGAAGCCCTACTCCCTCCACTTACACATACCCGGCCTTCCCCAGCCCTAAACCCTAAACCCCAAACCCCCAACTGCAGTTCCCTGGAACTCGCACGAGGGTCGAAATCTCATGGCGTCCGTCGGCTTGCATGTGGCATGGGCCTGTCCGCGAGGCACTGGGGCTGTGGCATGAACAGGTATTTGGGCATACAGAAACAACTTGAATAAGCAACACAACTAAACACAGATATCGAGATATGAGAACGAGACGGACTGCGTGGTAGACGATACATCTGGTACATGGTACATCTCATATAAGATATGGTATCTGACAGATGGTCGACGATTCCGCTTTATGGTTTAATCGTTTAATCTATGATGTATGTAGTTGATAGATTTAGTAGGGCCTTCAGATATGATATATGGTATATGACATGCTATAAAATTTGGGGCTTCTGATATAGGGCGTGTGTTGTATTTCGCTGGTGCATGGCTTGTGTGTGATACATGACGTTTGAACCATAGTGTGATTCACGTCATGTGGTTCATAATTTGTTGTCCGTGTTCTACGTTATCGGTATATGGCATGCGACAATATGTACGGTGTATGATACAGATGATACATGAATTCGGATATGTATATGGTTCATGATGCTGTATGTACATACATCCAGAGACGTGCGTATGTCTGTATGTCTGATGTGTATCCACGCACAAACAGAGGTTCAATGTATGATTCGCTGGTGTATGTGCGTGTACACATCAAGGTCTGGTGGTTCAGGCTCGACGGCTTGACGGCCAAACTTCATTCAATTCACAAGCAAGAAGCCCCGACCATTGAGCGATCCAACAATCAAATGCTTCTATGCTGGTCGACAGCAAAAGAGAGACATCAGCTTACGAGCAGCATCACGTTGCGTGTCTCCAAACTTTAATGAGTTTGCTGTGGAGCAGCCGTCGCCCCCGAGAGCTTGATTCAGGTGGTAGATGAGAATCTCGCTGCTTCGCTTTCTGGGCTTCGCCGGCACGTTGGATGGTCGTGCCTGATATGAAGAAGGGTATGTGGGGCTCGATGATTTAGCGTCCACTGCTGGGAAAAAGAGCTCAAGAAGAATTTGTGATTGTTTCTAGTGCCTGTGCGAGCACTGTATAACCAATCCTCCAACTGGCAACCTTCTTAAACTTTTAGCACTGCCGGTAGGATACTGCTTGTTTGGCTCAGGTTTGCCTAAACTGCGGCAAGCGGCCCGAGTTTCGGTGCGCAGGTTGCGGCGTCGCAAGATTTTGCTGCCAGGTGCGCTGCAGTCCACAACACGTTATGCTCCGCTTATGATGTTTTTCTTCTTGTCTTTGTTTCAATAAACCGGAGGTAAAGGAAGGAAGTGTGCGCACGGTGTAAGAAGTAGAACCACTGGAGGGTAGGGCAGACTGCACTTGGTTTTCTATCGAAAGCAACCAACAGGCGCAACGAATCAATTAGGGAAGCGCACCACACAAGCACATGAACTCGTGCATCTGCTGTTCATTCATTTGTTTATACTGAGTTTGTTAATTGCACTCGTTTCGATACATGAGCTAACGTTCTCCTGATCGACGCATGCTGGTATGTAAGTCTGGCAGTCAGCCGTACATCACGTGGATGTATGCGTGAACACAAACTGCTCCGGTCAGAAGTTAAGGGTCTAAGAAGGATGTTTGCAGGAGTCGAGAGTGACCCAGAATCTCTTGCAAGGCCTGTCAGCGTGCTTGCTGGAAAGGACACCGCGCACACTGCGGCTTGCCCAAAGCTGGACAAGACTAGGCATGCGCAAGCCGTTGCCTTTAGGAATTAATACGTACATATGTACATACATATATACATATATGGCATATATATATACACATATATATATATATATGTATACAGATATGCGTACACAGATATACATATATATATATATATATACATACTTCAAGAGAGAGAGAGAGAGAGAGAGAGAGAGAGAGAGAGAGAGAGAGAGAGAGAGAGAGAGAGAGAGTAAATCTATAGCAATGAACTGTCCAGTGGCTCAGCGGCTTGATTGGATGGCCTTATTGCGGTGTTTTCCTCCGCAAGGCTCCTGTCAAGCTTGTGTCTATGCTTATCCGGGGAAGGTTTCGAAAACCAATGCCCCTACAAGGACTGTGAAAAGGACAAGCCTGATATTCTGAGGCCGGCAAGACATGATTTAGGGTCTTGTCTGTGGATTGGAAGTCAGCCTGTGTTGTCACGATGATTGCAGTAGTTTTGCTTGCAGCGTCTGGGTGAATCTTTAGTGAGCTTTAGTCATTGTCTCGAGGATGATGATGTAGTCTTAGTCCCCCGAAGATTGTCACATGGTGTATGACATATACTGTTCGTATAGAATGTTTTAGTACACATGCAAGCTGTAGTATATAACTTACAATATGCATATGTAATGCAGCATAGAACCTATGATGGTATAGTATGTAATATGTCAACGACTTAGCAATGTATAAAATTGGACATAACATGTTTATTATTCAACACGTGAAATATGATACATAAGCTAAATTCGAGGTTGCCTGCTTCCTTGCCCAGGTGGCCGCGTGCCAGACCTGACAGCCAAGGACTTGGTGGAGAATGTGCCCGAGGCACGAGTTGTATCTTTTTAATTGCATGATCATGTTATATGCGTGATAATGTATTATCTACCGTCTCAGTATAAGGATCACTACAGCCTGCGCATTGGTGACGAAGCGAGCAATGGCAACAATCCGAAACATCAGGAGCAACAACAATGCTGCTACGAGCAGCAAGATCAACATGGGCAATAGCGCAGCACTGTGGAATCCGAGTCGACATCGTAATCTTCAAATAATGAAGAACAGCAATGTGCCATTGCCACGAGCACAAGACAGAACCATTTCATGTCTGCTGTTCCTGTTCACACCACTACGACCAAGGCTTTTGTGACTAGTTAATTGCAGCAACCGCAGTAGGACTAGATCAGTGGTATAGAGAATCTTGAAACACTTGCAACTCGGGTATTGGACGTTGCACAAGAACCACACACGATTGCAACTGGTCTCGATAGCATGATCGGTATCGATCGAAACAGTAGTCGCTCAATTGCCGCCATTTGCCGCCTAGAAGTCATGATGACTACGACAGCAGCGAGGCGAGTAGTACAACTCTTGTCATCACGGCCAGTGGCCTGCGGGGCGTGGCATCTATCACACTGCACCCGAAGTACGGGGCCATGGTCGAAATGGCTGTCGACAGGCCTTCGCATCAGCCTGGCCGGAAGAGGCAGCCTGCACCAGAGACGAACACGTCCCCAGTCAACTTCAGCATTCGCGAAACCTGAACTGGCGTGTCGGGTGTACAGTGCCACCCTGCATCGTTTGAAAGAACGGTTGCTCCTATTGCTCCTGGAAGTGTGGTCTTTCGATGTCAAAGCCGATGCAATGCTAAGGTTGAGATTGCGTCAGTGTGACGATAGCGGGACGGTGGGAAAGTGGCGATGACGACGGGACAATGGTGATATTGCTCATGATGTTGCTTCTGGTCGTTTTCGAAGAGAGCACCAGCATTGCCACGATCCTCGTTAACCACACCCAGCATTATTCTCATTGTCGTTATCCCCCTGAACATCATGTCACAGTCACCATCAGCAGTTATCTCCATCATCCTCGTTAGTATCATCAGCTCACAGAAGCCAGTGGCATCATCACCCCATATCGCTGTGCGTTTTCTCATCGCTGTCAATACAAAAGTTGCCAGCAACAAGCCTGCACTTCTTCTTGTTGCAACCGTGGTGGTCGAAGTAGTGCGAAGGTTAATCCAGCGTCTGCAGGAGCTGGAGCACACCCCAGGCACGACGTAGGGCAAGATACCACGACCAGGAGCAGCTGAGCGACGCGCTGCTTTTGGCCCAGCTGCTGAAAGCGCTGGGGGTGTGCAAGGAGATGCAGTGCTTCGCCAACTCATAGCCCACTAGGTCACTAGGCTCAGTCAAGCCTGCGCAGGGGACATTTCAGAAGGACTTGCCTTGGAACGTCTTTGCATGTCTAGCATGGTGAGTTTTGTGTGTTCATGAGAACCCCCAGCCCTAAATCCCTACATGCCCCAAACGGAAGAAGCCCTCCGCCTCAAAGTGTTGCCGATGTCTCGGCAAGGACGGTAGCATTCTCGGCCAGCAGCCTTTGCTCGAAACAGAGGCCCTGAGCACCTGGCAAAAGTATTATATAGTATTATAGTTAGGTTTTACGGGTATTATTTTGCACAATGTAGTTTAATGAGGCATCATTCATAGAGTCATAGAGTGTAGTATAGTATAGTAGAACATGCTAGCACATATAGTAGATTATAGTCGAATAATAAATCAGAATGTTGTTTACTTGCCGAACAAAATTCTAGAATCTACTATATGCTGCTGTTTGTGCGTGTGTGTGTAAGCGTCGAGTGCCCCGAACGAGCCTTAGTATCGCCCTAGTCCGACTAGCCCTTGAAGCCTCGGCAGGGCGCCCTCAACCCCAGAGAGGCCTCTGAAGCCCTCAACCCCAAACCGTAAACCCCCTTAAACCCCTAGGCTCTAAACCCTAAACCCCTGAACTCCCACACCGCAATTAACCCTTAACCCTAAACCCCTGAACTCCTAAACGGTCCTAAACCGCAGTTAGACCCTAATCCCTGCAGCTTTGGGAGCACATCACGAAATCACGCCGCGGCCTGGCTGCCCTTCTCTTCGGGCGGAACTGTCGCTGGGCCATGGATGGCATATAGTATGGTGGAGTATTGTAGCAGAGTCTAGTCGAATAGCGTTTCATACAGGAGATTGTAGTAGAAACACTGAGTAGAACATGACACCGATGCCCCTTCACTTTTGGAACATTCGTTTCGAACGGCTGAAGCAATCACTCCACCCTAGGCGGACGCCGACAGTACTGCTGACATCACTTCTGCCGTTATTCTGACGTTTCTGCAGGCTTATTGTCAAGATTTCTTAACGGCTGCGGCCGCGATGGAGTCGGTTCAGGGTTCATGGATTTCCATCGAGGCTTCCGCACTTCGCTGCTGCCAGCGGTGCGCGCGCTCAGTGCATTGGGGCAGTGGCCGCTATTGCTGAGTGCCAGGTGCCTAACTAAGCCCGAGCCAGCTATTGAGCCCTACAGCCCCAAACCCCCTAATATGTCATGTTGTCAGGTTTTGGTTTCAGGGTTCCACAGGGGGTGCTTCGAGTTGGGAGAGTGTGAGTTTCGATCCTCTGAAGTCTCAGAGTCCGACCCTTTGCAGCGGCGCCGTCAGATAAACTCGCAAGTTTTGTGGTATTCGGTATAGTGGCAACAATGCACGGAACAGCAGCTGGAGTAGGCAGAGCGTGGAGAATAGCAAGCAGTAGCCAATGAGCTTCGAAGAACCCTGAAATGCTTCATCTGTGTGCCACTGTTCCTCGCAGCCCAACTTGACTGACCGTAGTGGTGGCCTCGTCAAATGTTACATGCTCGTGAAGGACCAGGGTTCATGCTTTCGGGTTCTGAGGGCCTGCATCCTGGATTCGTGTATAAGTGGGTCATATCCTGAGTTCAACTTGCTTGAGGCCGCAAGGGCACGTGACCGAGCTCCCAACGCTGGACCGGGATTCTGCTGTCACTTTGTGTATTCAAGCTCAGGAGCCCTTTTTTGACATGACTGGGGCATCTTTAGATAGGAATTTCATGCGCCTGAGTTGCGCCCGCTTGCATGGCCGCGCTAGCAGGTAGCAGGAGGGAAATCAGTCTCATGAATCGGCCTGGCTATGATGACTACCATGATAATGATGATGATTGTGAATGTGATGATGATAGTTTAGAGCACATGTCTGTGTTGCAGGAGCTTTGCGCCACTCTGGCCTGGCGCGTGCTTGGCGCCGCGCGGCGTGTGCGTGCCGAGGCGTGAGTTTCTGTGGCTTCCGAAACCCTTGAGCCCTCGAGCTGCAAGTCCGTGTCCCGGAAGCCATATTCATGCTTTGCTAGTTTAACATACGGTCAGAAATCTACATGCAGTGGTGCTCGGCTGCAAACGGATTCCATTGAAGAGCTGTTCGGCTTCAGATTTCAGAACGCAGGTGCAAAGGTTGCTTAGGAGCCGTGCTGGCTAGCTGCTAGGCTTGAATGGGGCCATTTGAGCTGGTCTTTCAGAGTCTAAGGATAATCTAACATGTGGATGCCACTGACCACTACAAACTTGCAATATCGGGCCTACGAAAGTAGCAATAGTATTTCGTACGGTTCGCTGAAATGCATTGTTATGGCGCAATATTCCCCGCATGCCTGGTCTATTTGTTTAGGCCCGGTATTGGATTTTCCTTTTTGGTGGCACCTGTGAGTTTGGCAGCAAGGACAGAGAGAAGCTGTTCTGAGCTGTGATTCGGTTGTCCGAAATGTGCAAATGTCAAACCAAGACCATCAAGAAAATAAGCTGTTCATCATAATAATAAAGCTTTATTGAAGCAGCTTGCTGGGTTCGTTCTTTGCGTCCACGTGTGTCGTTGCCCCCGCGGGTTGCATGCATCAAGTTCGTCACACCCCTCCTTCGTCACACTCCTCCAGGGTCATCGGCGATTGATCTTCCTCGGAATTGGCTCAGGCAGGCTTTTCGGGTTTAGGGCTCAGGGCTCCAGTAAACCATGATGCACCGCATTCCACAGTTGTCCACTGCTTTCGCTACACTGGCTCCTGGAATATTGGTATACTACTGGAATCTAGTGGAAGCCAGTATTAATGGTTTGTGACGATATGTGAAAAGGTTTCTATGTCGACTCTGCAAGGAGTGTAGACTCTGTAGACTCTAGAAAGCACGGTTCTGGTTGACGCCTAGAGCTTCCTTCCGCAATTCGATTGCCATTCCTGGCAGCGAGTAGTGAGGTGGTCGTGGTGGTGGTAGCAGCAGCAGTCACGTTGGCAATAGTGGTAGAAGCGTTAGCAGCACCGTAATAGTCTTGATTGTGCGATGGCAGGTGACTCCTTGGTTGAGGCTTCGGTGACGCTTCACTTGGCCGCAACTCAGCGAAACAAGCTAAAGGCATAGGTTCTTCTCTGGAGGACCGGCATGGCTTGTCAAGTAGGCTCATAAGTCCTGCTTTTCCTATGCAGGAGGGTCATAAGGGCAGCGAAAGACACACTACTTGGGATGAGTAGGATGCAAGTTACACGGTCCCTTGCCTTTCAAGCAGTTTTGACCCAAAGTTATGGACGCATACGAGTATGTCAAAGAGTATTCTCCTACCACTTAATGTTGAGGGTCTCATCTATGCCTATATACGTACATGTGCACATGTATGTGCGGGCATTTTCCTTTATTGCCTTAGCATTTACAGCTGCACGTGCATCTACATGTACATTTGCATATACGTATATGCACATCACATGCACGTATTTGTGTATTGTAGGGGTCTCTTGCTTTTGCACTTTCCCAGAATTGCGGTCAGCAGTTTATTATGGCTATGGCCCAGCTCTCACCCGAGCCGTTAGGTCCATCTTCGGGCTTTCGTGCGCCCCTCGGAAGCTCCTTCATCTCAGGCTGCACTTGGTGTCACACCCGACCTTGAGAAGGCGGGCTGCAAGCTTACACCAACACCATGCAGAGAAGCACCCTAGCTTCCACTTAACCAGCAGCTGTGTCAGTCGAAGCTTGTGGCTACCCCCTCGAACAAGAAGAAGACTTCGCTTGGGACATGTGGTGATATGGCTGTGACCGTTGACATCTCGGCACGCCGACCGCGGGTGTGAGATGCTGCCCGCACTTGGGTTGAGCTTAGATGCTCGAGTCTTCTACAGCTTTGCCTCTTCAGGGGTCGCCCCTGAGCTTGCCCTGGGACGACTTCGAGATCGAGGCCAGAACCTGAACCTGTCAAGCTAGCATGTGAGAGCATCAAGGTGCAAGTGGCAGAAGCACGTGGTAAACTCGCTGAAAGGTCGTTACTACTGACAGTGCCGACGATGAGGACAGTTTGTTGCCTTTAGCTGCGCGTTTGCGTTCAAGGGGTGCTTCCCACCTCCCCTTCATCTCTCACTGACTGCCCGTCCAACCTTGGAGTGGGAGTCTCAATTGTTGGCCATGTCGTTCACAACGTGTGCCCACGTATAGTGCTTGTGTAGTATACTGTAGGGCCTAAATTATTACCAATACTAGTTTGGGGGCTCCTTATGATAGTTAAAGGCCCCTACTTTATACGGCCCACCCTGGAAACTTGATTTCACCGACACCGGAACATCTCGAACCTCCCAGCCCCTGCCATGAGCCAGCAACACAAAGCTGAAGTTGCCATGCTTTCGGGTCCTTCTATCCCTGAACCCCGAAACCCTAAACCCTAAACCTACACCCTAATGCCTAAACCTTAAACCCGTGATGAAGGTAGACAAAGTCGTCCTGAACAAAATGAGGGTTCTGGCCCAAGTGTTGCTGAAGAAGTTGATTGAGAAGGAAAAGTTTGCCTTGTTCTTGTGATGACTTTGTGCTGATGATCCCCGTGAACTTCCACTTCTGAGATGACTGCCCATGTAGTGTAAGCCGACTCTGGCTGGATCATTTCGCAGAAAGGGTCCATTGCACTTAAAAAAAACCTTAAACCCTGAAGCCCGAAGCCCTCATCCTCAACTCATCTTGAATTCTGGGTCTCGGAGCGCTTGGAGCCCGGAAGTTCCATTCCTCTCCGGCCACGCGAGGACCTGCGCTTGAACCGAATCGCGGAGGCCGGCTGTGGCCTTCCGGGAGGGCTTGATCCAAGATTGCAGCCATATTGTAGTTTGATATGCTCTGTTACAGTAATATGTTGTATTGCATTACATTATCGGGCCCCAGGAAGATTGCCTGTTTCTGAACGCCTTGTTGGTCAGATAGACTCAGGGAAATTCAGCTGAAGAAATGCGACTGGTACTAGTGACGAGTGCATCTGGTGAATGTGCGGTGTAGGAGTGAAGATGAGTCTATGCCAATGCCAACGATGACTGTAACAGTGGTCGCAACAACTCTATCATTCTTCTTCGAGCTACGTTGGCTCAAATAAGGTGGTTATCATCAGGATTCGCTCTATGTAGGCTTAATACCACTGCAGCAGCTGCTGCTGCTCCTCGTCATCCTCAGTCCTATTAACTACTACTACTACTACTACTACTCCTACTGCTACTGCTACTGCTACTGCTACTGCTACTGCTACTCTTACTACTACTACGACGACGACTACTACTACAACGACGACTGCCTCTACTGTCATCATCATCATCATCATCAGCATAAGTTTCGGCATCATCAAACAGTCTGACTAGTGCTGCGTCTTGCTACCATTGCTTGTGAGTGCTACCATCCTGTTCATTATTTGTCCTGTTGTTCGCAACCCTGCGCCCCACAGCATCAGACCTCAAACCCGTGGGGAGAACTCATGCGATGCCGTACAAATCCAAGCCCTCGACGAAGCCCTCCAAAACCTTCATAAACACTCCTAAACTGCCACAACCAAGCCTAAAACCTTGCACCTTTGACCCCAAACCGCGCAAAGAAGATTCCAAAAAAAACTTCAACTCCTACCCTAAACCCTAAACCCTACAGACCCCTTTTTGAGCGCCCCCTTCTCCTCCAAACGAGCCCCCCCCTTTAGGCGCCTCCGGAGCTACGCAGCCTGCGCCTGGACCGGCGTGCCGCCGTGCGGCGCTTCGCGGCCGAAGCTCCCCTCTTCGCCGCTCTCCCGGGGGGAGATGTGGGGCAGTTTACAAAAAAAAGGGGGGTACCTTAAAAGGGATCTATACCCCAGATCTCCTATAGAAACCATAAAGGGGTTTCCGAAAATTAGGGGTACCTTATTCTTAGCTTCCCTTAAAGGGTTACTCTTTGGGTTCCTTTAAAGGTCTCTGTAAGGGTTTAGGGTTTCCGAAAGAAAGTGGGGTACCTTAAAAGGGATCTTATAAGGGTGCCTTGTCTATAAAGGGTTTAGGGTTTGGAATTTCCGAAAAAAGTGAGGGGTACCTCAGAAGGGATCTATGAGGGTACTATATGGGTTCCTTTACAGGGCTCTATAAGGGTTTGGAGTCTCCCCCCAAAAAGAGGGTACCTGATTTTGGATTGTAAGGATCCTACTATTTTATTTAGGGTACCATATTAGCGTCCTTTAGTTTCGGAAGCTCCCATGTGGGGGTGACCGGTGGGGGTTAGAGGGTTTAGGGCCCGATGCTTCCGGCTGCAGGGCCCGAAAACCCCTTCAATCAAGGAACATACCTCGAATCATCGTACAGATCAGAGGGAGGGGGATCGCCGCAAGTCGTCATCTTCTAGTGAGTCTACGCCTCTCAAGCTGACCTCCCTCGCATCGCGAAGCCCCAAGGCCGAAAAATCTGATGCCTGAGGTCTTCAGCTCTTGGATGCCGATGCATGCCTGCTGGTGTTCGGACGTCGTGGAAGATGCCGGGAGCCGCTTGGTGGAGTGCCTTTGCTGTGTGAGTTGAGGCAGATTCAACGAAGGACAACTCACTCTCTGAGCGGAATCTAGGCTCCGCAACATCCGAGGATGTGTTTCTTGACCTCGCCCCCAGAGCTCATCCAGGTACCTCGCCAGGCCTGTTTGCATTCATAGACGACTAGAGTTCGAAGTCGCAGCAGCAGCAGCGGAGGAAATTGCGTAGATTGAGTGACCTGATCCGCGAGCCATCGAGGAGGTCCTGCGCCCTGCAACGCCGCAGCTCCGTGCCACGCAGGTCAGGATTTCGGGAACAAGGTGCCCTAGCCCCAGAATCGTCACATGCTGGCTCATGCCTCCGAACTTCACGGAATCCTACACCGACACCGACTGTGCCTCGGTTTTGCGCAATAGACAAGACCAAGAGTCAAGGCAAGCGCCACTCAGGGTAGAAGGGCGTCGTTGGAGCTCTGTTTGCCTCACATGTGCCGCTTGATATCAAAGATCTCCGGACGACTCGAGCCCGAAATCCTGTCCCCCGGCAGGAAATCAATCCGCTGACGCTGTGCCGTTGGGACTTCTTGGCCGAAGGCTGTAAGGGCTTCGTGCGCTTGAGGGTCTGGGGCTTTCAAGAGTATGGGATACTGAGCAAATCGGGCCGAGCCCACATAGAGGAATGACCTGGGCATCCCAAACGCAAAATTCCCAGACTCCGGCCCAAGATTGGGAACTCCAAACGGTCGGCCCACGACCCGCAGGATTCGATGAAAGCGAGGACACGGACAGGGACTTCTGCTTCGTGTTTGAAGAAGACAGACGGTCGGATCTGTTGCCCTGTAAGCGCAGGCTCTGTTTAAATTGCCGGTGCCGATAATTGAAGTCCTTCTTGCCGTCATTGGTGTCCGGACCTGTACAGTGTCATACTTCACAAAAAGACTTTGCCATGCCATTCGTTTAGCTGCCTCTTGATGCTGAAGAAGTTCTCAATAGCTGATAGTCACGCTAGGGGCACAC